TGTTCTCATTCAGGAAATCCAAAACATTGTCTGCTAGATCTTTTGATACAAAACAGTGTCTGTTAGATCCTTTGCTCTATGGGAAAATATGGAAATTATCTTGATAAAACGTTCCACAGACTTACATCTTCGAATGTACTGGACCGTAAATGTCAGTTGATCAATGTGTGAAATGTCTGAAGTGGAATCATAACTTATTGAATAAGACTTTGAATCATTAATTTCTTCCAGAATAGCACAAAGGACATGTTGCCCCATTAGATCAATAAATTTTTCTCAAATATTTGTAGCCAGATATGATGTGATACCCTTTCCAGCATTTCCATTACAGTTTGAGATACTCTTCCAAAAAAAGGGTTAAATTCACTCAGCAGCTCTAAAATACCTAAAAAATGTCCATTGTTTGCTGACCCAATAGTTTGACCCTAACCTCTGGAGGCAAGGAAGTGAACGACATAAACCCAACGAGTCAGAACTTTATGCCAGTACTTCTGTTTTGACCTATGGTCTTTGATTAATATAAGACCTAAACACCTAAAGCTTCTTTCAGTCGAATAAAATATGCAGTCATGTCCTTGCGGTGCACTACTCCATTTTCATGTTCTACACTTAGATTGTTATGTTTCCAGTTCTTAAATCCTGAAATAGCAAAGGGAAATACTTTTTTTTTTGGACAATAGACGACACGCAAAACAATACAAACAACATTGGTATGGTGAATACAGAAGCGATTCAAGTTTTACATACTCGCCATTCCGCAGTTCACGTTTGAACATATTTCTTGATAAATATCTTGTCTTAGTTCTTTCTACTCCAGCTATGCCTGAGTTTGAAATGTTGCAGTCATGATTCTGACACAATGATGACCACCTCGAATTCATTACTCAACAGTACAAGTGTTCTTAATATTCCAAAGCCCGGGATCTGTGTGGTGAATCACACACACTCTTGTTTTCTGACACAGCTTTGTGTGTTTCAATGTTTACAAATGCCCCATCAGAGGAAATAGGTGATGGTATTGTCTGGAACTAGATGGCTGGATCCAATAGAGGATGTTGATGAGGCTTTTTAATTTTGATGAGCAGTATTAGTCACTGACATTTCGAGTGGCATTAACCAAGATGTTAATTTGGCAAGTTTACCCGTTTTCCTTGTCTCCTCAGCTCTTTTCTCTTCTGTGCTCCAATTATAAAAAAAATTGTTTATTCCATGTTAAGGGGTTAAATACGTAGAAATATATTTATTAGTTACTAGTATTTCTATAGTAATAGCAGCAATCCGTTTAAAAGATACAGGTAATTATTTTTTTTAAAAAAATGGATTTGTCTGTCCGTTTAGACTGACACGTGCCCCGCTAAAAACGAACATCGGAGAAATGATCAATAGAATTGGTGTCATTAATAATGACATAATCGTAAGCGCGGTCATGAATCACCTGGAAAGACACAATATACTCAATGACTGTCAGCATGGCGTTCGAGTCAACAGATCATGCTAGACCCAAATCCTTGAATTTGCTGAAGAATTGACGACCAACTTGGAGAACAGCAAGCAGACTGATGTGCTTGTGCTGGACTTTTCAAAAGCGTTTGACCGTGTCAATCATAGCTTACTATTACACAAGCTGCAGAGATATGGGATCCAAGGCACTACCAAAACATGGATCTCTAGCTTCCTCAGCGACCGATGCCAGGCAGTAGTGGTAGATGGCAAAACCTTCTCCTATGTCGGTGTTAAGTCAGGGGTCCCTCAAGGGCTCAGTGCTAGGCCCTTGTTTGTTCCTAGCATATATCAATGATCTGCCCGAGAAGCTGACCTCTCAAGCAAGACTGTTCGCAGACGAAACGGCGGTATATAGGACAATCGTCAACAGCTCTGACCAGAGCCAGCTTCAACAAGACCTCAATCGGTTAGCTGAGTGGGAGATGAGCTGGGACATGGAATTTCATCCCGTTAAGTGCCAGACCCTGTCAGTCTCCAGAAGCAGATTCCCTCTAACCACTCTTACGAACTGCATGGCCATATTCTTGAGCCAGTTTCCTCCGTAAAGTACTTGGCTGTTACCATTCAAAGAGAGGTCCGCTGTGACGAGCACATTAACAGTGTGTGCAACCGGGCTAACAAGACCCTGGGGTTCCTAAGGCGCAATCTGAAGATCGGAAACTCAAGCGTGAAAGAAAAATCCTATAAAGCCTTTGTCCGGCCTATTTTAGAGTACGCTTCTACAGTCTGGGACCCATTTACTCAGAAAAGCATCGACAGGTTGGAGGCGGTCCAGCGACGGGCAGCGCGCTTTGTCATGAACCGCTACAGAAGCAACTCGAGTGTTGGCAGCATGCTAGAAACACTGGGCTGGTCTACATTGGAAGAACGACGACGACTATCCAGGCTCACCATGTTGTACAAGATAAAAAATGGGCTGGTCCACTGCTCCGGAATCAAACAGAAACTCGTTCATCTTCCCCCTAGACTGAGACGAAGCCACGACAGACAGTTCCGGCTGGTAAAAACAAGAACAAAGTACAGGAGCTCCTCATTCCTGCCGAAGACAATAGGGGACTGGAACAAGCTTCCAAAAGCAACAGTTGAGGCGGCTACGCTCGACACATTTGTGTCTATTGCCTCCTATATTCCAACCACCAGTTCATAACACCACTGCTGAGTAGCCCTTGCAACCAGTGAAGCATCCCATTGAAACCCATGCACAGTAACATCGCAAACCCCTCTGAAACATAGGAGCCAGAATGATCAATTCATTGATCGTGGGCCCTCAAAATAAAGAAGAAGAATAAAATCGATCTCTGTGTATGAGCTACCCGTTATGTAAGATGAAAATGACTTTGAGCTTTAAACAGTTAGCACAAATTATGTCTAAATGCCTACATATTTCTGCCTACAGCTCAGACATACGGTGACTTTTGGGTTCTTTTTATCATCTAAATATGTTTTTCAGACACAGAAAACAAAATATTTTTCTGTTGAAAAAGTAAAAATATTATTTGGGTTTTGTTTTTGTTTAAAATAAATTTACGTTTAAAAAGAATTATTCATTGGTGACCTACAAATTCCTGATATAATGCTAATTAAATTCAGTAGTACTTTAACTGGTGCTAGGATATATTTTCATCCACTAATTTCACTACGGAGCAGAGGCGTATCTAGGGCTCTAACCGCCCGGTGCAGCATCTTTGTCTAACATGATTGTAAACAAATACTCTAACTTTATTATTTTTCGATTCATATCTGGGAGAAGTTAAACTTGTTGACGAGAGTTATTCCCCTTTAAAAGTTTAAAAAGTATCCAACTTGTGATTCGCATTTATAATATTAATTTTAGAACGTGCCGATAAAATCGTGGGTTAAAATTGGGAAACGTGATGTCCACTGATTTTTTAAATTAAATTGCCAAAAATTGTCAATGTTCATTAAAAATATTTGCAACATGAAGCCTTTATAAGAGTGAGTCTGCTAGAAGCAAGGGGCCCTCTAGAAGCGTGGGGCCCTGGGCAAGTGCCCATTGTGCCCATGCCTTAAGACGGCACTGGCTCCGGTCATGACTTTTCACAGACTGCATTGACTCAGAAGTGGCGAGTGTAGGACCACTCCACTCCGTGATTCATATTTTGTGTGTCTAGGCGCTGAGACAGACAAAAGCACAACGTAGATTTAAATAAAATTCGAATACCACAAACTCCAGGATTCCAGATGACAAAATATAAAATATTTATCACAAAATTTTTTTTTTTTTAAAGCTCTACTGTAGTCCACACTGTCAGCTATCTGTATAGCTGTAAGTCGTCGTCGAACTTCTTAAGCTTGAGTGTTTCTACTTTGCTTAACTGTATCGTCTCAACTATTCCGCCGTCCCTGTCCAACTAGTAACTAAACTATCGTCTCAAACTTTTCTCTCTTAACTCCTCGTGGCACGAAGGGTTCTATCTTTTATACGACTCTCTACCTCCATAGATGCGATCTATTAAAACATCTCCGCCCCTTCATTTACGGTCAATTAGGATTTCCCGCCGCTAATCCCGAAATTATTCTGCCGAAGTCTGGTAGGTCCGAAACATAATAGTATGGAAAAGAAAAATCCCCTCTATCTCAAAGATGCGAGAAGCTATTAACCGTAACCTCACCCCCTTAACAACTCCATCCCCAAAATCACAGCGATTTCCGTCCGCCCTATAAGTTATCTGAATAACAATGGATTCTGTTCTGTAGCACGCCCCAGTCATTTGTGACACTATAACATAAAACATGTGGAGTTGGGAAGGGGTCAGTTGTGAAGAAGAAACAGGAGGAACCAGAAGCATTGCAGATAGAGGCCAAGCTATGGGAGGAAAAGTAGGGGAACTCACCCAAGACACCTCCCCCCCCATCAACCCCCGCCCCTCCCAAATAAATATGTAGCCCATTTATTTCTTACTTAAATATGTATAGGAACGCCGTAAAGTTATGCTGAAGCTTGATGACAGTACAAACATAAGGACTTTGTCATGATATTAAAGCTTCCAACACGATAAAAGTCTTTGATTTGAATTTCTTATTCTTTTTTGTTTCTTGTCTTGTCTGCCGAATAAGACATCTAACCGAAACCTCTTTTGTTTTTCCTGTCTGTTAATGTCAAGCTTCAACATACATCGTTCAATGAATTTCATCACAACAGCAACAGTTCTTGAACGCAGTCCCTAATACTAATAATAATGGCGTTAAATTAAATGAAAATGAAAAGGCCTTCAATAAAATTATGTAAAACTATCGTTTTTTTAAAAATTTGAGATATAAAATAACCTTTTAATTTTAATTGTAGGCCTACTACTTTTTAAAATTATCATTTTACAACAACAGAAAAAGATCTTAGAGATAGCACATTTATTTTCTTACACCGAACAACTCATGGAATAATTTCTACGAGGCAGCTAACACTCAATGGGAAAATAAAAAGGTGAATGCTAATACTAACTCTGTATCGATTCAAAATTTAAGCCCAAATCATACCAAACAAAAATGGCGTCTACAGTTGCGTCTTCTGAACAGCCTTGGTATGTTGCTCTTCTTGGCTTGGCAGAATACTTTAGAACTTCAAATCCACCTAATATAAGATTGTGCATTCATTGTTTACAATCAATCTTCAATTTTAAACCCCCGCCTCATATAGAAGCCCGGACACACTTACAACTAGGAAACATTCTTTTGACACACGCCAAAAACACAGATATTGCAAGAACTCATTTGGAACAAGCGGTAAATGGTTAAGCTTCTATTTAAACAACAACAAAAAAAGTGTTACTGTTGCCCTTTAAAATAAGTTACTGTATGTTAATTATGCACCGAAAGGGTTGCCTGTTATTTCATGTTAAATAAATGACATTTAAATGAATGATATGCTGTGAATGTGAGTCACAAATAGTTTGTTTAAGTTTAGTTTATTTTTTGAAATTTCAGGCTACCTACTCTCTTAGGTAGGGCTCTAAGACTTCTAGCCACTATTACTAGTCTGAATCATATGGAACTTATTGCAATTTTTTAAAGGCATTTTGCACAAGTAATATAAAACTTAAAAGAATTCCTTTAAATTTAATATTAATTATTCGGCTAATATTTATCATACCTTCTCAAGTTATAGTAGGACTACTCAACTCATCATTAATCTATAATTATTATTATTTTTCAGTGGACAATTTCCTCTACAGTATCCTTGCTTCTTGTTTAATTAAAATAAAATAAACTATTAATTCCCCCCCCCCCCCCCCCCACACACTTTTTAACCTTGAAGTAGCGACTGAACTGCTATGGCTATACTTCCCTTTGCATCCTTTTCTCAGGTAGAAAAATAATGAGAATACTTGTAGCAGTAAATGGCTCTTATTCTTATCCTCATCAAATACAAAATTACAAAGTAATGTATTATTGTTGTTGGATCGCTAAACATACAAACAAAACTAAATAATGTTTAAATGTGTTATTCTATTGTACTCAATTTTAGAAAGGCAAATAACTTATGTTTATATACGCATAGGGTAGCTATTTATTTTTATTAAATTAAAATTGTACTAATTAGTGTGTAGGTTCAAGGCCCCCATTTTTTTAAACCAGTTTTTAATACTTTTATTTCCGTAGCCTAACACAATATAGTAGCATAGGTTAAGAGGGCCATTCATAAATAACATCACACATTTTTCAGATTTGTTCCGGCTCCACCCACTAGCAGAAAAAAATTAGACCACCTTCAAATATAACATCACAAACTCTGCCCCCCACCCTCCCCTCCCAATAAAAATGTCTACAAACCCTTAAAAAATTCACCTGTCATGGATATCGCATTACTTCACCTGTGTCAGAAAAATTCCCTAAAACAGTGGTTCTTAACCAGGGGTCAAAGCAACTCCTGATGTGCGTAACACTCAGAAAATTGTATTAGCTAAGTTGTTTCCGCCTTTAAAAAAAGTTTTTCTGCATTTTGATTAGCAGCCGTAAATGTTTTTCTGGTAAATTTTGTTTGCCCATCCCTTGTGTTGGTAATTTTTTGTTTGTTTTTAGAAACTTAAAAGAGAATTAATACTAGAATAACAAAAATATTTAATAATTATTAATTAAAATTTTTGATTACAATATAATTTATGCTGCAACACAAAGATAGAAATGGAATAGGAAGTAAACTCATTTATATTGAGTGATTTCCATTTAACCAATATATATTAAATCTTCTCTTTTTTAATGATTTTGTTATCTCGTGACACAACAGAAAGGGGTATAATGGCAGATAATTTGGCAGTCATGACAGTTATAGGGTTAAAAACACAAACGTGGGAAAATATTGGGAAACAACTTTTTGGGGTAAATTTAGTGTTTATAAAAGGGACTTAACAAATTAAAAAACAATAAATAATAACTCTACTTCTATAAAAGATAGGAAAATTATATTGGTGTTTTGGAAAGCTAATAGCTATCCCTTTAAAGGGATTTATCTTTTATGACAGTCAGACAACATGAAAAAATTTCTTTCAAAGTACAATGCCTGTTTGAAGTAAAAATTTATAATAGTACATGATAACTTTTTGTTAAACTCATTTTGTTGAGTTTTTTAAATTTAAATGTTGTCCAATGAAGTTTGAAGGTGTAATGAGGAACCATTGGTGAAAAGAAGCTAGATTATTAATTTATCACCTGAAAGAGTTGTCTCCAAACAAAACTAATATTTCTTCATTAAGTAGAATTTAAATTTTAAAAAAGTAGAATTGTAATTGTTAAATTATGATTTTCCACCGTTAGACATTCTAAGGTACTGGGTATTATCTTTAAGCTCTTAAAGATATAGTGTTATAAGTTTACGTAAACATTATTTTGTGAATGTTTGACGTACCTTTAACAAAGTTAACAAAGATACCTCATATTGATGATGTTCGCTATGAATCTGCAAGTGTTCTTGCACAAGTTTATACAGAGAAACAGGTAACTATAAAACAAAAAGACATTTAAAAATTTTTCAACTCAGATGGCTTAATTATCTTGTTTTTTGTGAAATGCATACATCTTTCGTCTAAATCCACTTTGACCAGCTTAATCATTGTTTATGTTAATTGTGAACTTGGCTGCGGGTGCGCAGATGGCTGATGTGGCAGATTCTGGCATGAAATAGAGTGGAACCTTAGTGCTTGTCTTCCTTCATTTTCTCACATTTGGCTCCTAACCATTTTCATTTATTCGAAATAAAGTTTTTTCCAAACCACCCCTGTCCAACATTAGTTTGGAAAATTGACTCTTTACTCTATGTATAGGACCATACTTTTGGCAGTGTTGGATATGCCAAATCTTATTCAAATAAAATTTTTAAAAGATCATCCTGTTTCATTTATACTATGTTAATCCCTGCTTAAAAATTTACTTTTACCACAGCTTTTTTTTTTAATGAAACATTTTTAAAAAGCGAATTTAGAAGACATTTTTAAAGGCAAATAATTTTGTTGATATTGAAAATAACTTTTCAGAACATGCCCCACAATGCAAAACCAATTTTACTCAAGGGTATTGATCTGTCTCAGCAGTCTCCTTACTGGCATTGTCGACTACTTTTTCAGTTAGCTGTAAGTATCAATATAAACACAGTTGGATTTTAAAAGGAAAATGTATCAACTTTTTTAACATGATTTAATTATGATCTGCATAATTTAAAAAAAAAACAAGATATACGTGTCAATATATGTATATTTTGATTTAATTTTGAAAGGAGGCCTTTGAAATAAGTAAGCCAACCTATAATATATTGCAGCAACTTCACACAGCAGAAAAAGACTGGGCTGCTGCTATGAGTATAATGGGACGTGGTGCTGATTATGCCCTGGCTGTAAGATCAGAGTACACAAGGCTTCTCTTCATGCTCAGCAGAGGCATGGTAAGGAAAAGTGAAAAAAACCAAGAAAAAAAACCCTTGTTTATCTGATAAATCACTTTATTCGAATTCAGTCACAAATAAAGTTTCATATAACAATCTCTTTCAGGGAACTGAATTGAATCAGCAAAGCCTTGCATTAACTTAAATGATTCATATCTTTCAGATTGGACTAATCAGCAAGAATATCCCCTGTGTAAATGATGCAATGACCCAAGCTGGTCAACTAATAGAGTCCTTTTCAGGTAGTCCTATACACAGAGAATACTTAAAAGTGTTTTTCCTTGTCCTTCAAGTTTGTCATTATCTCATGGCTGGTCAGGTGAGCATTTGGCTGTGCTTTCACTATTCTTTTATTAGAGACACATTTTTCTCCTCAAATTATAGTTTGGAAATATTGAATCATGTAAGCAATACAACTTTCTAACAAACTTGAAGTTCCAAAATGAAAATATTTAAAAGTAAAGATCAAAAGTAAATGGGACCTAAATCTAATTTTAAAAAGTTTGGTTATCTAGTATAATATTAATTATTTGCTGATGGAATACTTTTGCGTTTAGGTTAAAAGTGTCAAGCCAGTTTTGAAGCAACTCCAACAGAGTATTCAGACAATAGCTCACAACCACTCGGATGATGGTGAGTATAACCATTGCTCTGATTCAAAATTATTTCAAAATTATAATTTTAGCATCCATCCTTCACAAAGAGATGCTGACTTCGCAAGGCCTGGGATTTTGTTTGGAGAATAAGCTGGTTCCCTGTCAATAGATCCCCCCTCTTCATATATCTGGTGATCCCAAGGACACAAGTGAATGTTACAGCTTTGAACCAGGGATGTTGCAAGAGTTATTGGAATTTTCATTGAAATGATGTCTTACTGCTTACGAAAATCTTCTCTTAGATGGTTAAAGGGTCCCATCCACTGCAGGTGCTGGCATTGTTTTTTCCCTGGGTTTCACTCAGGTTTGAACGCTTCCTGCAATTTGTTTATTTATTGGAACATGAATTTTATTTACATAATATGTGAGGGGGGGGGGGGAACAGTATTAAAAAATAATTTATTTTCAAACAACAAATCACAATTCATTTTTAAAAAAACTGCATTAACTAATGTGGATCCCATTCATTGCATGGTTTCACTGGACAAATATTGTTTGTTTGGCCAACTGGCATATATGGTGATGTTAACTCTGGCTGGCCGAGTGATCTAAACTGAGCAAATCTCAAGTTGGTGGTTAGGATTTCAATTCCAGCCAGAGCCCAGTCAAACAAAAACCTCACCAGCACCCCGGGTAGATAGGACTCTTTAACCTTGGTCGTTAACTCATCTAAGAGAAGGAAACTCTAAATTCAAAACCCGGAGATGGCGTCCCCTACAGGCGGCAAACATCGAAACAATGAATGATTCCGACAACCCCTGCGACGCCCCGGATGCCATCACTGAGAGCGCATTGAGCATGCTAAAATAGCATGGATACTTAGCGCTATACAAGTATTCAATCAATCAATCAATATTCTGAATCTTAAAATGCGTAATGGGTCATTTTATTTTAAATCTGTAAAACTGAAAATGTTCAGATGAACATTGGTTGTTGTTTTTTTTAAAACTTTAAAATGACTCATTGTCTTTAGTAAAATTATCATAACTTAACAAGATTGGTCTAGCTTACCAGATGACTTTACTGAGTAATCTGCAACTTAACCCAATTAATCATATTTAATTTCATGGATATTAATATGTTTAAGATTTGTCCCAAATAAGAGTGCTATTTGATAAATAATGGGCTCTTCCTTAAACCAAACCTGCCCATTAAAGAAAACAACTTATAAAATATTTTTTTTTAAATAACTAAATATTTACAGTCTAAAATTAATTAAAATATTGCAGAGCCAGTCGTTTCCAATGAGGCAGAGATGTTTCAATGGTTACCTAAAGAACACATGTGCATACTAGTCTATTTGGTGAGTTGTTGGTATATCAAGTCATATTTATTAAGGTTCTTTAAGAGTAAAGAAAGATTCAATATAATATATGCTTAAACTGAAATAGCTTTTGGGATTGACTCTTTACATTCCTTAAATTTTTCTTTTTTGTCTCGAGATTTCTACAGACCTTACAAAAGAGTCAATAACTTTTAGAATCCATGTCTTAAGTTGATGATGTTATATATATATATGTGGGTAAATTCATGAGGCTTCTAGAAATGTTTGTTTCCATGCATATAAATTCAAGTAAAAAAAACAGTGCATATTTTTTTTCTGAAAATATGTAATAAATTGTTGTCGTGTTCAGATGCAAAGATGGAAAAACAAAAAACCTGCAATTATTGAATTAAATCTGATTATTCCGAAAGAAAATTCATTTTTGTATGTCATATGAAGAAATTAGAACATTTTAATTAGTCAAAAAGGGGAAATGAAAAACAAATTAATTCATTCCCCAATTGTAATATTGGTGAATTTTTTTCATTCACTACCTTCAAAATTATCTTACAAATTACAAGACGGAAGGTACAAAATGTATCAACTCAAGTCCTTTTTCATAGTAAATGGAACTTTAATATCTAATTAGCTTTACAGACTGTTAATTTCATATACACATAAATAGCACAGTTCACTGTCAGACAGAAATAAAACACAACCTCCTTTAACAAAGTTCCTTTCAAGATTGCCGCACAACTAAAACGTATGTCACAAAACAGACTAGACAAATTCGTCATAACAAGCATAACAATATGTCACCAAGTCAAGCGTGGGAAGAGCGCTCACTAACTAATTAATCTCTCAAACACACATTGCACATAATCAAACATAATATCAAGTTATTATTTAACTCCCATACTGGACACTCTCCAGCATTAGTCATTATGGCCAATGGCAGTTAAAAAAAATTGAGCAAATTGACACACGATTAATCACAAAAAAGTTCCTGATAAAAGCACATTAACACACATATAGAAATGTAAACAGGAAGCAAACTCATTTATATAGAGTGATTTCCTCTTTAATGAGGATTTTGCTAACAAAGGTAAGATTCACATGTGCTACTTTTGATTGTGGATTTTTAATAATTTTTCTTTACATTCCTAATTTATAGCTCACTGTACAATTTCTTTTTAAATCTGTGCATTCAGAAACTATTGTGTTTGTTTTGTATTTTGTCATATTTACATTTAAGGCACTTGGAAGACTATCAGTTGTAGTAAATCACCTGCCTAATGCTCAAATAATTTCCCCAGTAAAGTCATTTTAGAGTTTCAGTACATTTATGTCAGGATTTTCTTTTCAACAATCCTGAAGAGAATGTAGCTGGCAATATCAAGAAAATGGAAGAAATGATATGTCCATTATCAAATTGTAAACACCACACATTAATGAATTGTATGATTTGACAATATTTGGTTGTCTCACCAATAATTACCTAAATACACCATCAGTTTTGGTTCTGTTTACAAAAGAAAATCCATTTGCTTTCATACAATTTGAAATAAGAGTGCCTGTTTTATTATCTCTCCACTGAACAGTTATAAGCTCATTATCTCTTATCCACCACATATCATCTTGATAATTTTCTTCTGATAAAGTCAGACAACAAATTCACTTTGCACAGTTTGTCTTTATTGTCAGTTTCAATAATAGAAACTTTGAAAAATGTCATAATTTGAATACATCCGTTTTTGGATATAAATATAAGGCATTAGCTGAAAATTCATGGCAGATTGTTGAAGTTGACCAGTATTTTTGTACACTTGGGACCTATACACTTGCAATGTAGATTAGTGGTACTAAAAATGTGTCAAATATATCTTTTGAAATATTAACCAGCCTCTGTTGATGGGAGGTTTAATAGGTCCCATGATAGATAAATAGATGGTGTATTTTACAAATTTTTCAACCAAATAGAGTGTGAAAAAATCTTGAAAAAAATTTAGGATGAATATAAACTGGCTTACTGTATCCTTATTGACATTTCTTCCCTCAGGTGTAAACCTGGCTTTCTCGCTGGAAGAAACTTAGGAGTGGGAACTGGTGGGTCATCACAACTAATATTTTAAATATCACTTTTAAGGGTGAAAAGAATAAAAAGTACATAGACCTATGCCTACTTATACTTCACTTGAATTTCCAGTTTCATGGCTCTTAAAATTGTGTAAATACCATAATGGCTCTAAAATATCATTGAATATTTTAATTTACAACACCCAAAAAGGTCAAATTTCATGATTTTTAGGATGAAATAATGTATCATCATTGGTTAGCTCCAAATGCATTATTTACATTCTTTAGCAAAAGTCACTAAGAATAACTACTTCACTATAATAAATATTCACATGCATTTTAAGAAATTTCATTTTAAAATGGCTAGTAAATATTTTAATATGCTTTTAAAAAAAATTAAACCGATATTTGTATAAAAATTATAATAAAACTAAAAAAACAACAACATAGAATGATGAAACACTTGAAAACTAACCTTCTGGTATTCACTACTTAAATGGGCTGCAATGATTTTCATCAATATAGGAATCTGAATTATTTGATTCTAGTTAGTTCTCAATTATCTTCCTCTGAATCAATCGATTCTCAAATTATCTGCCTCAGAATCACTTGAATCTGGTTCTCAACTACCTTCCTCAGAAGATTCGTATATAATTTGATACATATTTTCACCAGTAACAATGATTTTCATGACTACATTGCGATGTCTATTAGTCTCTAACAAAAATGTGTCTTAGATTGCACTCCTCCCTTTGGCATGTCACATGTTTCTTGAACTTAAAAATCAAATAAAAATATTAAAATTTTACAATTATTTTTTTTTCTTTTCCAATTGTACTATGAGAGTTAAAAATTATGTAGCTTTAGTTCAGGATCCTCTTTTCAACAATCCTGAAGAGATTAAAGCTGGCAATATCAAGAAAATGGAAGAAATGACATCACAGAATAATAAAAAAGACATTTTCTGAGCGAATAACCTGCGTATATAACATCACACTCTCTGTATAAGAGGAATGAAAAGAGTTAATGAGAAGTTTTGCTTAATGATTTAAGTTTTTTTTTTTTTGCTTCAATAATATTTACTGATATATTTCTGTAACTACGTGGCTTGGTTAGATATTAAATAGTAAAATGTCAATTTTGTTTCCTTACTACTTGTTACAGGTGACAGTGATGCACTCTATGCAGGCAGGTTACATGGACAAAGCCCAAAAATATACTGATAAGGCTTTGATGCAAATAGAGAAGCTTAAATGTGAGTAACTTTGAAAGTTTGAACAGGCTTCATCTTTTCTTAATATTCAATATTTCATTAAAAAATTGTTAGCCCTCATCCAGACGAGGTGAGTTTTCTTTTCCATACACAAAAAAGTAAAAAAGCTTTAATATCAAATGTATTTTTTAAATTGAAAGATTACTATAAGCTCACTATACTGAATGTGCATTCTTTTCCATGTCTCAATTTATTGCAGTTATGGACAGCAATCCCCTTCTTTCATCTTTTCAACTGATGCTTCTGGAACACATTATCATGTGTCGTCTCATTATGGGAAACAAATCCAATGCTATCCATGAGGTAAACATAAATTACCCAATGCTGCATTGTATGACTTCATGCTATTGAGATTTCATAATTTGGTTTTAGATAATTTGGGGACTTTCTCTTTCTTTCATTTGAACAAATTACTTTTTTTCTCTTTCTGTTGGATTTTATTACCATAGATGTGCATTAACTGCTTGGTGGTGACCATTAAAGAATTTTCATTACTGAGATCTCTTTTTACAAACCATTTTACCTAAAAGATCTTTAATCTTAAAAGCATTGACATTTTGGCTGTTAGCCTTACATTTACTGATTGTTTTGAAAATCATACTGTTCCAATCTTTTATTACTCATTAATAACCTTATGCATAAATGGTAACAATTGACGGATTAAAAAACAGAATTTGCTCATTAATACAATTGAGATTTAAAGATACACACAGGAAAAATATTTGAACAAGCACACATTTGCCAATTTTTATCAATGATTACATTTAAAATATTATAACACTTTTTTTTTATCAACAGATATTTCAAGCTTGTCATGTTTGTCAACAACAGCCAAGATTATTTACAACTCATGGTTCCCAGATACACACTTTAATTGTAAGAGCCTTGCTCTACAACTTTTACTGTACAAGTTAACTTCTCAACATCTCAAAGGCCCTCAGAACTGTTCGGCTGCAGTTCAAGACATTGCAATTACTCAGTTATCTTAATCAAATATTATTCACCAGTTGTTTTAAGTAAAACAATTTCATAGATTAAAGTTCAGTATTTAAATCAACCAATCACTTCTATGTTTATTGCAATAATAATTGTTATTTTTATATTCTAGGGCCTGTATGCAATGTCAATGAATTGTATGGAGGCAGCAGAAGCACAGTTTAAAACTGCTCTAAAGGTATTTTTCTTGCTGCCATTTTACAAGATCTTAGTGTTTGACCAAACTTAGTACTCAATCTTAACTTCACCAATGATAGTAATTGTCATAACAATATTTATAATAACTTTATCTCAACTTTTCCTTTCAACCAGATGGCTGGTGGTGTGGAGTTGATTAACTTTATCAACTTGAACTTGGCCATTGTCTACTTACGAACAAATCGTCACCCGCAGCTGATGGGACTTTTGGATTCAATAAATCCAGAAACAATACCAACAGCGTGAGCATGACTTAATATTTAAACATTATCACCATTCTTCTATTATACACAAACCATTTATTAAATACTTTTTGAATGGTCCTTAATCTATAATTAACTATCATTTTAAAATCATCAGGTCCCACACATTAAAAGCAGCATCCTATTATGTAAAAGGTTTGCAGTTTTTCTTCCAAGCAAATTTCTCTGATGCCAAGTAAGTTGAATTAATTTCTGATGTATATCTTTTTTCTTAAAAACAAGTCATAAATATCTGTTTGAACTTCTTTCACACTTTATTAGTAAAATGTTTTTATTTTTTGTGTTACTTTTATTTCTTATCTTTGTGATGCCACCACAATCTAATACAGGGGCTCTCAACCTGTGGGTCGCGACCCCTTTGGGGGTGGCATGACCCTTTCACTGGGGTCGCCTAAGACCATCTGAAAACACATATACTCTACAGTTATAAAGTATCAACGAAAATAATATTGTGGTTGGGGGTCGCACAACATGAGGAACTGTATTAAAGGGTCGTGACATTAGAAAGGTTGTGAACCACAGATCTAATACATGCACAAGTCCACATTATTTTAAAACTTAGGGTATTATTACAAATTTTAAAATTATTTGAGGCCATCCATTTCTTTTTTTTCCTGATATAAGACTATTATTTTACCACAGAATGAAAATCATTGCAGATTATTTTAATATTTTTAATTTAGACGCTGCTTGCGTGAAACTCTAAAAATGGCCAATGCTGAAGACTTAAATCGTCTAACTTCATGTTCACTTGTACTTCTTGGTCATATCTTCCTTTCTTTGGGAAACACTCAGGTGGGTATGAATCAGGTAAAAAATTAAAATTTTGTTTAAGCACTTTTATCCACAAGATGCTGAGCAGCGACAACTGATTTTAACCTTTATATCCACAAAACACAGATTGGTGTCTACATAACATGGCAAAAAGAAAAATGTATGAATCATCTTCCCTTAGCTTAGTAGACATTCTAAGATGTTTATATTCTTCCCAAAAGTCTTAATCACAACTTTTAAATGAAAATGACTTAAGTCCAATTTTTGTCAAATTTTTAGTTTTGTTTACTCCAATCAACAGTAATTTTGTCAATAAGTGGACTCAGATGATGAATTTGATACCAATTTAGATGTATTTATATATAATTCATTAGTTAATTTTGCTAGCTGTATTAATACAGATTCCTGTAATGAAAATAACAAATTGAAATCAATATTGCCAGTCTTGAAAAAAAAATTAAGTTATTTTCTTATAACCTTATTTTGACCATAACTGGGGGAAAAGTCATGTGGATAGAAGTGCTTTTTTACTTAATGACTGAGATATGTGAATATAAAATGTTAATACCTGTACTTTCAATGGTCTTTAAAAATGTGTATGTATCTTATTGCTGATTTTCATTTAAGTTCTTTGAATTGCTTCCATTATCTATTTCATTTTGAGCAACATATAATATTGGCAATAATTAATGTAATCAGAAGTTTTAGTAGCAACAATTTTTAAGAACAGCAATCTCAGGGAAATTTTAGTCATCTACTTGATAAAGGAAAAAATAAGCACTTCTTTAATTTGATTAAGGTAAGTAGCTTGATGTTGAACCCACTGCAGATAACAATGAGTTTCTTTATTCATCTGCTGCTTTGAAATTTTGACATTAATAAATAAAGATATTTAAATTCAAGAATCTGTTAATGATATAACTTATTTGCATCAACAGGAAGCTATGAATCTAGTGACACCAGCAATGCAGCTAGCAGGGAAAATCCCTGATGTCCATGTACAGTTATGGGCTTCATCTCTTCTCAAAGGTAATTCACCAATTATTTTAGGGTTAAATGACATAGATAAACTTTTAATTTCGCTGTCTTTAGAAATATAAAAAAAAATGGCAAAATTCTCCTATCTGATGTGTGGGCAATATTATGTATTTCCTTTTATTATCCAGATGTTAAAGTTTTCACTCCCAAGCAAGTATTGATAATAATTAAAGACATTAAGACATTTTGCAACTATTAAAAATGGCCTTTGACACCAGATACTAATTTTGCTACATTTTAAACATTTTTTTATGGGCGTTTAAATCTCTTCTTAGATCTTTATCGACAATGTGGCGACACTGCAAATGAGGCTGAAGGTTATCGTATGCACACAAGTTTTTCACAGGCACTGCTGAAAGACCATTTTCAATCTTCTCAAATGCCAGAGCATGGTATAATTCAGGTATATTTATATATATATATATATATATATACTTCTTGTATATTTCTTGTTTATTCTTCTGACATATTTCTGCTTAATTCTTTGTACAACTTTTTGAAAGAAACTTTTTCATTTGCCATTGTGTATGCTTATTTTAATTGTGTATTTTTGAGTCTATGGGAGATATAAATTTTTTACTTCTTTCAATTGATAAATTGCCTTTGGATTTTCTTTTCTTCTTTTCAAATAATATTTCCAATGCTTTTAGGTAAGTGCAGCAGTTTTAAACCTATTTTATTTTGCAGCACACTTGAAATTAACAGCCAAAACTCATTTACACGCAATACTAGTACTTATAAATGAAATGACAAAGCCACTTATAAACATAACTACATCTATATTAGACGGACTATATTATAGGTTCCAAATGACCAGATATCACACAATTACTGATAGATAGTGCAATTTCCCCAAATGTTCTTGAAATCAGTTTCTTTCCTTTATTTCAAAATTATCGCTTCAAAACAAGTGGGCAATTTTTTAATGAAAGTATAAACATTTTTATTTTAGATCACATCGGTTCTAAGTGAATTAAGTGTAATATAATAATACACCCATTTATCTCAAAATTGTTTTTTATTATTTTTTTCCAGTGGACAGATGGAGCTTGCCCTTTTCACTTGAGCAGCTCAGCGTCGACATCAAGTGCAATGTTATAATTAACTTTCTTGATCCCCAACTGAATGTTTGCAAGCTTAGTCCATTCAAACCTTTATAAGCTAAAAGAAAAAGTGTTTTTGTAGGACCTGCCATTCATTTGATGCCACAATATATAAGTTGATTTAAATGTACAAATCTGAAAGAATCTCCTAAAATCTATTTAAAAAATATTATTAGCATTTCAAAAAGTACATATTTGATATTGTTCAATCAATAATTAGCACCGAGAGTTCTTTTAGAATGGGAAATTGCATTTCGACATGCCATTATTTAAAATGTGCATAATGTATTTTTAAATTTCCAGGTAAATTAGTGTTGAATTTTATAGAATTTAAATTTCTTAATTTCAGTGGTTAGGGCATAAAAAAACTAATGCAGTTAAGATGTCCATTTTTTTCAATTGAGTTGCTTGCAATTCAATTTAATTGAACTTTCTTATGGAAAAAAAAGCATTTTAAGTACCTGGTAACCATAGTTAGATACACATACTCATTCAAAATTATTTGTCCTTACAAAAAATATATAATTGATATTATAATTGTTTTCCTTTAAAGCATTTAAAGGAAAGGTGTTTCTTTCAGTTTTCCTACTAGTATAATGCAGTTTTAGATTCCCTAGTTGTGTTTTTGCATTCAGATTCGTTTCAATTTTAAATGCTATCATGCTATTTTTAAATCTGGAAGGTAAATCTGAAAACAAATGGCTTGACAGGGGACATGATTTTGAAGGCCCTAGGAGGGTAACTAAATAGGTCTTAGTGGGTAAATTAATTCATTTTCTTATTTCATCTAAAATGATTCCTAAAAGATCCCTTGAATAAGTTTTTTTTTTTTAATGTATCCCATTGCATCAATTTATTTATTTCTGGTTGTCAGCAAATTACAAATTAGAACAACAATATTAAGAATAAGAAAGGTTTTAAGAAGGCAGCAATTTAATGTACAGAATTACTAAATGTTAAAAAAGGTGAATATTTTTACTGAATTGTTAAACATTGATATATGGATGAGTGAGATACAAAACAAATTCATACTAAATATTTTCAAATGTATGTGTCCATTTCTGAGAAATTTTGTAAAATATTGTTGTTTGTACCCTAATACATTTCATTGGTGAAAAGTAACTTTCATTGATCTTTACTTATGTAAAGCTACTAGAGTAAACTTGTAAAAATTTAAAGCATATAATTATAACAAAGGAATGTATAGTAGCTGTTGTAAATTAGGAATTGTGTGCATAAAATAGTTCACTATGGGTGCTGTGCATCCAAATAACTTGTCATGCATTTTACAATTTTAGCATTAGAGCAAGGGAAAAAAAATGCTTTTCATTTTCAATAAAGATTCCATTCACTTAGTAAAGTCAGGATAGAAAATGAATTTGATAATGTCAAATTCCTTTAGGTTTCATATAAGGTTTTAAATCACACACATTTTTTAAACATTTTGTTTTTGTATGAGTATGATTTTTGTAAAGACTAGAAATATTTTGCATTGATGTCCACATTTAATTTTGACATTTTTAATGTTAAGTAAAAAAAAATTAGGTTTGATGTTTGTGAATTTATGAAGGTTAATTAAAAAAAAATAATAATTGAATGTACATACCATAGTCATCTTCCCCCTTTAACTTTATTCAGTCCATAATACCCCTTTAAAAATAAAGATTCAAAACATTAATATACAAGTGAGTTTAAGTCATCATTAGCCTTTGGGGTTGCTAATAAAGTTTTTTTTAAAATATTTGTTTTATTTTCAGATGACATCACAAACACTTTATATCACTGCCCATGAGATATTTGTGATTTAAATTCACAGGACAGTAGACACTTTAGACCAGTGGTTCTTGACCTGGGTTCGATCGAACAGGGGTTCGGTGAGTCAGTCTCAGGGGTTCGGTGGAGGTCCAAATGAAAATCAGAAAAAAAAATCATATTTTATTTTTCCTATTAAGGGTTCGGTGAATGCGCATATGAAACTGGTGGGGTTCAGTACCTCCTAAAAGGTTAAGAACCCAGGGGTTCGGTGGAGGTCCAAATGAAAATCAGAAAAAAAAATCATATTTTATTTTTCCTATTAAGGGTTCGGTGAATGCGCATATGAAACTGGTGGGGTTCAGTACCTCCTAAAAGGTTAAGAACCACTGCTTTAGACTTTATTGGGAGTGTCAATAAATTTTCTCTTATTTAAATCTGTACAAATGCTTTTTAAATGTAAATTATAACATCATTGCACTGATTTTTTTTTTTATAGCCATAATTTGAAATAAAACCTTCATAACTTTATGTGAATGACAAATTTTAAATGCTCCAGAAATGTAACCACAAAAAGGCATGTAATTTTTTGAAAAATGCTGTGAAGAATTTGATTTTTGAATTTCAACTGGTTAAACAATCAGAAGCTTAATTTAAAGCAAATATTTTTAAGAAATCCATAACCCTCTTGTGTCACGAGCTCCTTCACGCTACGAAACGCTTGGGTCTAAATCTACACTTTCTGACACCACCTGTTTTGTACAAAACAAGGAAACTCAATAAACATACAATAACAAAGAAGTCTTCAATTAACTTAAAATAACTGCTTCTAGTTTGTTATCTACAATGTATAAGTGACTGAAATGAAACTCAATGTATACAGCACAACATATGATATAATGAAATTGTAACTTACATTTAAAAATACATTAAGAAACTTATAATGGTTGTCCTATAATCTAAATCATTCAAGCACATCTGTTCAAACTATGAACTCCTTTGTCCAGTCGGGCATCTTTAATATAGGCTTGCTTTCTAGCAGCTGGTTAATGTGGAGAAATGCTTTTTCTTGAGGCTCTTCCCAATTAAACTTGTTGCCATGTGATTTTTTTTGTCAGATCAGATAGCGGTGCGGTTACGGCTGAGAAATTTGGCACAAAATTTCGGTAGTAACCGGCTAAGCCAAGAAAGCTCCTCACTTGCTTTTTGGTCGTCGGTCGCTCGCAATTTGTTATGGCCTGAATCTTCTCATTTTGAGGCTTTATGACTCCTGCCCGTACCGTAGGTCCCAAAAACTCCACTTCCTCCATGACTACCATTGTCTTTGATGGTTTAATTTTGAGGTTTGCCTCCCTCACTTGATTGAGCACCATCTCACATATGTCTAAGTGATCGTCCCAAGTGGCACTGTGCACCAAAACCTCATCCACAAATGCCTCTACGTCTGGTCCCACATTTTTCATTATTTTTCCAACCAGCCGATTGAAAGCTGCAGGCGAACTCTTCAAGCCAAATGGCAACACCTTATACTGAAACAGACCGTCTGGTGTACTGAAGGCTGTCAGTGGTTTCAACACTTCGTCAAGTGGGACTTGCCAATAACCCTTGGTGAGGTCAAACTTTGAAAAGTATTTTTAGCCTGCGAGATTAGCCATGATTGCTTCAATCTCGGGCATCGGTTCAGCGTTGTCCGCTGTAACCGAATTCAACCTTCTGTAATCGTTACAGAACCGAAACGAGCCATCGGGTTTATTCACCAAGACTATTGGTGATCAATATGCTGACTTGGACGGCTCAATGACGCCAGCAGTCAACATTCCATCCACCTCTTCCTTGATGGCTTTCCTTGTTGAGAATGGTAGTGGGTACTGCCTCACCTTAACTGGCTTGAGGTCAGTCAACTGTATGCGGTGCGTGTAAACATTGGTTAACCCAGGCTTCTCACTAAACACGTCCGCATACTTCTTGATGAGTCTGCTCATCTCGTCCCGTTTCACAACGTCTAGCCCATCACTCACTCTCACATCTCTGTAATCCTCAGTTTATGAAAGTTATAAGGATGTTTCCCTCATAGAAATAGGTGTTGTGTCTTCCCCATTTTCAACCTCCTCTATGACCACCGCTGCCACTGTTTCTATGGGCTTCTCTCTGTTTACATATTCCTTTAACATGTTCACGTGGTACGTTCTTCTTTTCCCACGAACATTAATGACCTAATCCACCCATCCCACTCTCTCCTCAACAACGTAAGGACCTCTCCAAGTCATTTGTAACTTGGATTTCTCAGTGGGTAACAAAATCAAAACACTACCTCCAGGTCAAAAAGATCGCATCTTAGCGCCTTTGCATAGTGTTTCCTTTGATTTTCTTGCTCCTCTCTCAAATGCTCATTTGCTAATTCGAGAGCGTCCTGGAGCCTTTCCCTCATAGTGAGAACATAATCATAAGTGTTCCTCACCTCCGGATTTGCCTCACCTGTCCATAGGTCCTTCAAGATGGATAACGGTCCCCTCACAGGATGCCCAAACATCAACTCAAATGGATTAAATCCTGTACTCACCTGAGGTGTTTCCCTGTAGGCGCACAACAACGAGGCCAGATAGGCGTCCCACTCCTTAGGATGCCATAGACCATAGTCATCTTCCCCCTTTAACTTTATTCAATCCATAATACCCCTTTAAAAATAAAGATTCAAAAGTAAAAAAACATTAATATACAAGTGAGTTTAAGTCATCATTAGCCTTTGGGGTTGCTAATAAAGTTTTTTTTTAAATATTTGTTTTATTTTCAGATGACATCACAAACACTTTATATCACTGCCCATGAGATATTTGTGATTTAAATTCACAGGACAGTAGACACTTTAGACCAGTGGTTCTTGACCTGGGTTCGATCGAACAGGGGTTCGGTGGAGGTCCAAATGAAAATCAGAAAAAAAAATCATATTTTATTTTTCCTATTAAGGGTTCGGTGAATGCGCATATGAAACTGGTGGGGTTCAGTACCTCCTAAAAGGTTAAGAACCACTTTATTGGGAGTGTCAATAAATTTTCTCTTATTTAAATCTGTACAAAATCTATACAGCACAACATATGATATAATGAAATTGTAACTTATGTGTAAAAAATACACTAAGAAACTTATAATGGTTGTCCTATAATCTAAATCATTCAAGCACATCTGCTGACTACGACTGCGGGCACTTGAGTTTACGACTCTCTCGACACGCTACGGACTCTATTGGTGGAGTCTCGTGGGACTGTCTTCCGTCTAGCGTCGGTATGGAACTATGCACATTCGTCTCCTGCCAAGTGCTTGAGATGGTCGGTCTGCTAGCATCTACTCTCATGACAATATAAAGGGTGACTATTCCTGAAATATATGAATAAATCCCCTACACTATGTGATCAATCCTAACTTCCAACTAGATACTCACTGTCGTTTTCTAAACTACTGCCGTCTACCTAACGTAACTCTCGATCACACAAACCACTCTACAGCTTCTTTAATCACACACCTTACATACACTTACCTCTCTCTAATTTTCTTCAAAGTGTGGTCAGTGGTGTCTACCAACACGTTGATATATATATGCTTAACTGCTTTATGTGGATGGTAACTCTGACAGTCCTCTACTACTTCTACGGACGGAGCTCTCCCTGACTGTCCGCTACCCTGTCCGGCTGAGTTCTGCCCAGTCCTGTCCAACGGTCCCTATTTATAATTCCGGAGCCCATGGAGGTTCCCTCTCATGTCAGTAATCTGACTCCCAAATCTTTGTGTACTAAATTCGCGAACAATTGAAATGGTCCTAAACCCCCGTAGTGCGATAGCGCAACGGTCGTTCCAGGGGAATCTGATAAGCTAGCCCCTGGTCAGATGCCGGTAACCCTGCTGACACGCTGGCCCTTTTTAGGCTGTCGGTAACCCCCAACCCCTGTGGCATCCAGGTCCGAACCCTCCACCATGTATGGTATTTAATTATTCCCCCCTACCCTTGCCTCTCTCTAACTCGCTATGGCCGACCTTGGCTTAGTAGTCACTCTGTGACATCTTGAGATGGTGCCTTCTTGGACTGTCTGAATAGAAGAAGGAGCCATTTACAACTATAAAGCTATATATATTCTTTAGTGAATTGAATGAACCAATATGATCTGTATAAATCATACTGAAATCCCAACATTTATGCAAATGAGATTTCCTGATTTGCATAATTTATGCAAGTAATTGTTTTGTTTTGCCTTAGAATAAAACATGTCTTACTTTTTTAAATGTTGAAACCTAAGTGAGAATGAGATTTGATGTAAAAAAAAACTATAGATTGGCAGAGCTGTCTCAAGAGGGTTAAGATATTACTTGAAAATATGATGGATTCCTTAAAAATTGATGGCATTACTAAATTACTTCCACAAAAAATGTTATATTTGGAATGTTTTTTTGTTTTTTTTTAAGTTTTAAATTTAATCAAGAACATAGAGTGATTTTCTTGGCCACATGTTAATACTACTGGCATTTCCTGATGTAAAATGATCACACATTTTGATACAGTAGAGCTTTTCGAAGGTTTTTTTTTTTTTAACTCTACCTAACTTAGCTCTAAACATTTAATGTATTTTGAAAACAGTTTAAAATGCAATAATTTTTTATAAAATATACCATCTGTTTTGAGTTCATTCTCTCATTTTATTTTTAGCAGAATAACTCTTAATTAAGTTTTTAAAAATGTATTTAAAGTCATTTAAACTCAATCTTGTGTAGTCCTACTAGTAGTAAAAAAGAAGACAATATCAGCGAGGTGAAGGATCCAAAAATTATATTTTATAATCATTTATAATTTGCAGTCTGGAACTGGGAGAATGAACTTTCATAAACAGATAATAG